AAGTCGAGCTTCATGGAAATTGGGATATGCTCTTCATTGGGTGATACAAGCAAGACTCCTACACCAAAACCTTTTTGGTTTGAAGCTCCATCGAAATAGAGCGTCCAGCTATCATCTTCAGTCATGAGTATATCTTCGTTAGGGAAATCGTACTCATCTTCTTCTTTCTCAACTTCTTCTAGCGGAAAGTCTTCTAAGAAGTTAGAAACCACAGAACCTTTGATGCCTTTTTGTGGTACAAAATTCAAGTCAAACTGAGCAAGATTGACTATCCACCTTGATAATCTGCCATTGAGTGTTGCTTTTTCGAACAAGTATTTGAGAGGATCCATCTTGGACACGACATGCATTGTATGAGTAAGTATGTAAGTCTTAGTTTCTGCGCAGCCCACATAAGTGCGAGACATAACTTTTCAAGTAAAGTTTATCATGTCTCGTATCAAGGAAAGCTTCTTGCTCAAGTAGTAAATTGCATTCTCCTTGCTTTCGATTTCTTGTGCTAGCATTGCCCCCATCGTTTCTCTTGTGACCGTAAGGTAGAGTCGAAGAGGAAAGTCAGGTATTGCTGGCGCTAGCACGGGTGGGTTTGCCAGGTATTCTTTAATTTTGTCGAAAGCTTTTTGGCAATCGTCATCCCATGTGACTGGGACATTTTTCTTAAGCTTCTAAATATAGGTTCACATATCGCCGTGAGTTTTGATATGAACCTACTTATATATTGCAACCTTCCAATGAAACCTCAAATTTCCTTCTCATTCTTGGGCGGTGACATGGCCATGATCGCTTTTACTTTTGTGGGATCTATTTCAATCCCTCGAGAACTGATCACATATCCAAGTAATTTTCCTGACGTGACTCCGAATGCACACTTTGCTGGATTTAATCTCATGTTGTACTTGCGGAGTCTTTCAAAGAACTTGTGAAGTGCAATGATGTGGCCTGGGTGATCATATCATCGACATAGACCTTCACCTTTTTGTGCATCATATCATGTAACAATGTTGTGGCTGCTCTTTGGTAGGTGGCACCCGCGTTTTTCAACCCGAATGGCATTACCGTATATCAATATGTACCCCATTGTGTGATGAATGTGGTTTTCTCCATATCTTCTTCAACCATTAATACTTGATTATATCCGGCATAGCCATCCATGAACGATAGGAGTGCATGGTTTGCTGTGTTATCGACCAGAATGTCAATGTGAGGTAGAGGGAACCCATCTTTCGGGCTTTCTTTAATGAGGTCCCTGTAATCAACACACATTCTGACCCTTTCATTCTTCTTTGGAACTGGAATCACATTTGCTATCCATTCTGGATACTTTGATACTTTGATGAAACCTGCGGCCAACTGCTATCCGATTTCTTCTTTGATTTTGAGAGCCACATCCGGTTTCATACGGCGTAGCTTTTGTTTGACAGGCTTCATACCTGGAATGAGTGGTATCGTATGCTGAGCTATATCCCTGTCAATTCCTAGCATATCTTGGTATGACCAAGCAAATACATCAACAAATACACTAAGTAAGTTAATTAGCTCTTTGCGTTCATCTTGACTTAGTGTTAATCCAATTTTTACCTCTTTAACAGTCGTATCATTGGAAATATTAATTGTTTCTGTATCTTCGATAACTGCCGTTTTATTTTCATGTTCTTCCATTGCTTTTATTATTTCTTTGTCATTTTTATCATTAGCAAAGCAATATTGATTAGGGTTAGGGGGATGACACGCGTCGTAAGCAAAGGTACTCATTTTATTGAATTCATCGGTTAATACATCAAGAGGGGCAAGGTCAGCTGCGACCTCACCAGAAAGAGAAGACTCAACAAGAGACTCAGGATTGGACTCTATAGCAGAAAGAGGGTCGACCTCAGACTCTAAGGACTCGTCTACAGACTTAGACTCAGACTCGGACTCGGACCCAGACGACTTAGACTCATCAAACATAGGACCTTCGCCAGCGGTTATTTCCAACTTCTCTCCGCTTGGCGTAGTGATCCTCAATGTCTTGCGCCATCCCTTTTAAATATTATCAGCTTGGACGATTAACTTGGAGGGGTCAAAATCCTTGTTTGATATGACAGCTTGAATGAGCTCGGAATCATCATTACAGGTACACTTGGATTCATTCTTTTCTAGTCCGAAAAGAAGGTTAATGTTTAGTTCATCAGAGCTTGGACTAGCTGGTTCCTCAGTTTTGAAGAGTTTTTCGCCTTCATCGACAGAGTCACAATTGAGGAACATCTTGAATCCAGGTTCACGCTTCCCATCGTGGACGAAAGGCTTAGGGAATTCATAGCATGGGAAGTCTTCCCCTTCTTTGATGTACTGGCCATTGAGAGTGAATGGATATGGATCCATGGCCATTTCCGTTTTCATGAATCGAGCATTATTGCGAGCCTTCATTTTCAAGAGGGCTTGTCTCACATCTTCTTTTATTGGCTTGAATACCAAGCCAAAAGTATCCTTCTTGAGTGCACCAAGATGGCCCCAAAGTTCAGCCATTTTCTTTTTGAGCCCAAGGTCATTCCAGGTAAATGCCCTTGCTTCTTCATAATGGCATTAATGTTGGTGTTTGAATAGAGATCGAAGTTGAGATGACACTTCTCCTCTTCTTCGATCATGAGAACATCATCGAGTGAAAACCCCCAAAAATCTTCGTCATGTTCGACATGGAAGATAGGAGTGTAGATAACTTGAGATGCGCATGGGAGAAGCATCAATGGTAATTGGAACCCCTCCAACTATGGATTTCACTTTCTGGTGCAACGATGATGGAATCGCCTTTAGCTCATGAAGCTAAGGGCGTCTTAACAACAGATTGAAAGAGGGCTTAATGTCTACCACCATAAACTTGGTGCGACGTTCAATGGCCCCAGTAGTTATGTTTAGTGTGATAGTACCCACGGCTTGACGGCGAGTATTATCATAAGCACGAATCCCTTGAGTAGAGGGAGTCAACTCTTCATTCTTTATGCCCAACTTCTTTGCAGTGCGTAGTGGGCATACATTGATTGCAGAGCCATTATCAACCAGGCTCATAGGAACATTCATCTTCCTACACACCACAGTGAGGTGTAAGGACTTATTATGTTGATCCCCTTCCGGGGGCAGATCCTTGTCAGAAAACGAAATCAGATTGCTAGTACTTGGCAATTTAGTAGTGAGAAAGTTGACCAGTCCTTGAGGAGTCATATCATCATCAACTCCTATTTTCACCAGAGCATTTATCACAGCCTTTCGATGCTCGTGAGAGGTGGCCAAAAGCTTCCATACATTCATCTCTACCTTGGTCTTTTGTAATTGTTTGACCACATCGTTGTTCACAGGGTCGATGGGATCAACTATCGGATGTGATTACGGTGGAGGTGGAGGTGGACTAGGTTGTTGCAACCATCCACTTCTAGTAAGAACCTTGACCTCAAGGTCTCCCCAAACATCTTCAGTTGTGCCAAGAGATGAACAGGCTATATCCTTGAGAAAGACGTCTTCATCATCACTATCCCAAATTCCATTCACTTCTTCATAACTCGAGACAAATATAAATTCCGGCAGAGGTTCATTCACAGGTTGAATGAGTATTGACGGATCAAAGGAGACTTCATCTCCCATGATAGCCAAAGCATCGGAAAGAGGACCTATTTGAATGTTAGGCTTCTTGCCCCCTGGAGGGACAAGAAGTTGATTAGCATCAATTAGGTCTTGGATCGCATCCTTCAACCTCCAACACTTCTCAGTATTATGACCCTTGCCTTGATGAAACTTGCAATAAGCATTGGGGTCATAGCTAGCGGTCCTATTCTTTTGTCGAGGTTCTGGAAATGGTCTAATTGGCATAATCAGTCCTTGACCATGTAAACGGTCAAAAGCAGCATCATAAGTCATTCCCAAAGGCGTGTAAACCCTCCTTTTCCTTTGGAATCTTTGAGGAGGATAATTAAGGGCCACCACATCATTGATATTGATATTGTTGGTAGTGTTATTGGGCCTGGAAGACGAAGAAGAAGGAGTGTCGTTCTTCTTGTTTTTCCAAGTGATGTTATTATTGTTGCTACCAGTAGTCTTCATCAGTTCATCCTTGATATTGATCCCAATATCGTATACAGCTTCAAAGGTACTCAGAGGCAGAAACTTCAAGTGTTTCTTGTACTTATGAGTCGGATTGGCAATGAACAAGCGAACCATCTCTTTTTCCTTGGAGGGATCCACCAAGAGCGCGGCTGTTTCCCTCCACCTGCTTAAGTAAGTGGTGAAGCCTTCATTCTCTTTCTGTTTGAGAATGGAGAGTTCACGTTCAGAAGTCTTGGCCTGAATGTTACACTTGTAACGTTTCATAAAGCTTTCAGCAACATCCTCCCAGGTCGCGACATGTTTGGATTCCAAAGTGTAGAACCACTGTTGACAAGCATGCTCCAAGGAAAGAGGGAACACTTTAGGGAAGAGTGTCACATCTATTCCCTTAAGAGCCATGGTTGCAGAAAAAGCCTTCAAATGGAAAAGCGGATTATCGGTAGGCTTGAACTTGGGAATGTCAGCAGTGGAAAACTTCTCAGGAAGCTTGTCCCTTATGGACGAAGAGGCGATAGGTTGCTCCACATAAGTGAATTCTTCAGAAATCTTACTCATCTGTTCCTTGACACTACCACAAAAAAGGGATTAGAGAACGGTTAAAATAGGCCTTACAGAACGCCTCAGAGGCGTTCTTCTGCTAAGCGATGTGTAAAGTTTACAGAACGGGTATAAGAGGCGTTCTATATGCAAGGGAAAAGAGATCGGGTACAAGAGACTTTCTATATATAAGAGATAATCGTTCTCTCTACTATTACATATGCCTATAAAAAATGAATAAAAGAGAATTGTTAGCTAAGATAATAGTTCCCTTTGACGATTATTTTAATAAAAAAAAATGAATTTTGCAACGCGGAGGTTGCATACGTACTAATATAAATCATGAATCAATAAATAAAATTGTATTGAAATTATAAAAAATCGAAGTCAAATTACCAAATTAAATCAAACTTTATCATCTTTTATATTCAATCAATTACATCTCCAGTACATTTTGATACAATTAAAATGAATAAAAATCGATGAACAGTACATGATATTGATAAATAATTCCATGAAGATCTTGAAGAATATCCTTTTATAGCCAATGAATCTGTTGAAATAAACAAACAAAGAGTTAAAGTTATAAATGTATATAATGCATTATTGATAATAATAAAATTAAAACATCTTTAACAATAATATATTCAATCATATGTTTGCCGACAATTTCAAAAAAGTAAAAGCAATTTAATCTTAGTACTGAACATAAAACTATACATCATTTTAAGAATTAATCAACAAACATAAAACTCAGTAACTAAATTCATAAAAGTTCACCTAAATTGGATGAACAATTAACAAAAATAAAAATAAATATGGGAAAAAGAAGAAGTATGCCCAAAAAAAATGCATGATAATTAAAATTAACAATGAACGAATTGAATTCCATCTATCCTAAAATCATAAACACATATTCAAATAAAAATTGATGCTCATAAAAATTTGACAATTTGTTCTATTTCTAACGAAATCGATGTTTATATCAAATCAATGAGGGGAGAGAGAAATTGACCTTGACGAAATCCTTAATTCGAGTTTTGTCTTAGTTGCTTGTTGTTCTGCCATCGTTGAAGCTCCAAATATGGGCATTTTTTTTACTGAGGACAAGATGGGTAATCTACAATTAGAGAACGTGATGGAGTAATTAGGGTAGAGCAATAATCAATCTCTTAACCAGATTGGATAAGAGTGACAAAGAAAAAGAAAAGTTTTGAAAAGAGGGAAGAGAAAGAAGCCATTAACGGATGCTACAATGAGATAATGAGATAGGATTTGAGAATATGAGAAAGGCCTTAGGAATTTTAATCCACCAGGAAATAGGGTTTTGCAACTTTTGTTTTTTTAATAGGTTAAAATTAAATAGAACGGTTAACTAAGATAAGCGTTCTCTATATTAAATCACAATTTATTAAAAACAATAAATTAATTAAATAGAACGGTTAACTTAGATAGGCATTCTGTATAATAAAATAGCAATTTTAAAAAAATAATAAATAAATCAAATAGAACGGTTATCTTAGATAGGTGTTATGTATAATCCTAGAGATCACCTATCTAAGTTAACCGTTCTATGTCTTGCGTTTCTTATTCTAGTTTTTGTAGTAGTGTGATCTTGTCCATTGCAGAGGCAGTGACACTGTTCTGATTGTCTTGCTCTACCGTGTTGACTCTAGTGGTGAGTGTTTGCATCATGTTAGACAACATTTCAATTGTCCTGTTGATGTTCTCGATATCTTCCTTAGTAGCCATTGGTTGAAAGTAGACTGGAGATGGATCTAGTGGAGATGATTGTGGTGGTTTCCTTGTACGCCTCTTTGGTATAAGAGGTTGTTGAGGTATTGACTCGAACCGTAACAATCTACCCCTGCTTCTTGACCAAGTGATATGACACCGAAACAAACACACCTTTAATGACCAAACTTAACCTTAACCCATTCGGAAAAATAAAAAAATTTGAATTTTAAAAAATATATATAACTTTGAAATTCTATTTATTTATTTATTTTTGTTTTTTTTAAAAAAAAAATGGGAGGATACTATCCGACTTACTCCGAAAGAAACGACACAAAAAAAAGACTACCCTAAAATACGGTCAAAAGTGGTGCACGACTAAAGAAAAAAAAAGTGTGAACACTATATGTGAAAAATTAAGTGAGGTTATGGACGCGTGTTTTGACCGTACAACTAGACATGACACCAAACTGGACATATAAACCACATACGTACGCACAAAAACCGAAAAAAGACTAACGGGACACTTTTCCTGGGCACGTGTCACGGTGCTGACTGTCGTGACACGGTGCAGTCTACCGTTAGACGGTAGAAAACGCCGTGTCACGGCACTGTTCACCGTGGCGTGGAGGAATTTTTCGTGACACGGTGCGCAGTTCCAAGTCTGTTTTGTGATTTTTTTTTCAGATTTTAGTCGATTTTAGGTCCGTACTAATTACTATGGGGAAATAAAAACCCTCAGTCATGGGTTAAACAAAAAAGAGTAAACACATGAAGGTTAGCACCAAACACACCATGTAGCATTTAGTCACGATGATGTAAAAAAAGTTTACAACCTAGAGTCAAGATCTATGTTCAACTATTGGTCAAGCTTTGTGTGTCAAAAGGGTACCATGGTTAAGAGTTTGGACGCGTTAGCAAGGCAGCCTCCCTTGAGGGAGTATGCCAACGGGCGGCTCCGCGAGTTCGTGTTGAAATCGAACTCGACTCCATGGTTTGGGTGGATTTAATAACTCAAATGAACCCTTATTGCCATGAGCGTTTTTGGGTTAATAGAGCTTAAATCCCCCGGGGCTAAGACGCATGTAGAACACACACGTTTTTTCAGAAAAATCGAAGGAAGTTGACTGCAAGAAGAGAAAATAAGCCACCGGACTGATTTTAGGACTGCCGTGACACGGTAGAGATTCCCGTGCCACGGTACGGTACATCGTCATACGGTACACTGTACCGTGACACGGCAGATTTTTCCGTGGCACGGTAGTCAGAAAATCTGACTGGTGCCGTGTTTTCCTTCGTACGCAATCAAGTTATTCAATTTTTCCTACAGGACAGACCTAAATGCGACGTTAAAACGTCTATGCTTATGCAAAAATGCCAAATTAATCAAAGGAATATTTTTCAAGAATCTTTCAAGTCTCATCCACTCATCTTAATTAAATACCATTCACTCAAATCGATAAATAACCAAGAATCCTCCCCAGTGGAGTCGCCAAATTGTAGGTGTCGCTCAAAGTGCACTTACGTTAAAAGCATGTGTGAATATGCTTGGCACTCATAGGAAGTGGTAATTGACATTCCAATTAGGGACAACGATTAGGGACAAAGCAAAGTAGGGAGACGCCAACAAGTTTTTAAGGAACTTGTAAACCGTTCACGGATCATAAAAAGGCAACCACGATAAGGGACAATAATATTCAACAACGATTGACCCGTGAAGGTTACACCCCATTCATAATCCATGAGATTACTAACTCCATATGGTTCGGAACCACGAAAGGAGGATCGGGGATGATGGTACAAAGTGAGTCATGGAGTCACATTCGCCCGTATTGGCTTCTACTTTATTCTTATAGTGAAAAGTGATTCCTGAGATCTCAAAGGCATACAAACAAAAATTCAATTTGCTCCAATCTATTATTAAGCTAAATTGGTTTAATATTAATGCAACATATAATTCTAAAATATTGTAATCACTTGATTTAATAACAAGATTAAAAAGGAACCTAAACCGGTTGTCCAAATTATCTTATTAGGCGTGATTTTCAATTATATATTCCCTTTAAACATGCAATATAGTGATCAATGAATAATAATAAAATAAGCATTAATACTAGAAGCAATTTAACAATCATTTTAACAATACAAAATCGTTAGAAAAAAAATAGAAATAAAAGGAACATAATTCTTACTTTGATTCTGTTTGTTTGGAACTAAAAAATAATAAACGAGTTAGTATTTTCAAAGAAATAATAATAAAACAATAATTAAATTAAATTAAATTAAATAGAATTTATTTGGGGCCAAACCCTCAAACAGTTCTACCTTTCACGCCTTGGCTTAAGGACAAAACCACGAGTAAAGTACGGACTCCTTGGAGTGCTTGAAGAAGGAATTTTGAAAGAAAAATGGTAGGCTATTGTTTAGGCTAGAGCAAAGAAGAGAGAAAAAACTAGAGAATTAATTTATGCCTCGTACATCATAAATGAGGGGGTATTTATAGAAAAAATGTGTTGGAACACACGGAACCCTAAAAGGATAAAAACCCTAAAAAAGTATCCCACGACACGGCAAAGTGTACTGTGACACGGAAATCCCACTGTCAGACGAGAAACTTTCCCGTGACACGATACAAAATTGCGTGATGCGGGAAATACTTAGTGAACGGGAGGAGAAAACGCGTTAAGGGTTTACGCGGAAAGGACACGAAAATTTTCGTGCACAGCAAATGTCCCGTGTCACGGGAAACCCCACCGTCAGACGTGAAAGTTTCCCGTGACACGGTGGACTGTTGCCGTGACGCGGGAGATTTCAGTCCGTTTTTCCGTCTAAATTCATTTTAAACCCTAATTTTGTTCAGCATTTTAAGTGTCAATTGATAATTTCGGGCCATTTTACGATTTTATTATTATTTAGGCTAAAATAAATAAAAATTTTGGGCCAAAATAAATAATAAAACAGTAAAAAAAAATAAAAAAAAGGTTTTGGGCTGAAATTAAAACTATGCTTTGACCAAACATCAAGACTAATCCATGGACTATTCAAAAATACGAATTTAATTAAATACGATTTTTTAAGCACTCTCGAGATTAAATACTGAACCCGACCAATAATGGCTGTGAAAGGTTGTTCATCATCGGGTTTGGTTTTGGGGAGACATTTTTAGGTGTCTACCGTAGATGTCGTTCGAAGTGCACCTACGTTAAAAGCATGTGTGAATATGCTTGGCACTCTTAGGAAGTGGGAATTGACATAATACGATTAGGGACAAATAAAGTAGGGAGTCGGCAACAAGTTTTTAAGGAACTTGTAAACCGTTCATAGATTATAAAAAGGCAACCACAATAAAGGGACAACGAAAGGCAACAATGATTGGCCCGTGAAGGTTACACCCCATTCATAATCCATGGTATTACTAACTCCATATGGTTCGGAACCACGAAAGGAGGATCGGGGATGATGGTACGAAGTGAGTCATGGAGTCACATTCGCCCGTATAAGCCTCTACTCGATTCTTATAGTGAAAAGCATTCCTGCGATCTCAAAGGCATACAAACAAAATATTCAATTTGCTCCAAACTATTATTTAGCTAAATTGGTTGAATATTAATGCAACACATAATTCTAAAATATTTGTGATCACTTGAATTAAACAACAAGATTAAAAAGGAACCTAAACCGGTTGTCCAAATTATCTTATTAGGCGTGATTTCAATTACATATTCCCTTTAAACATGCAAAATGGTGATAAAAAAAATAATAGAATAACATCAATATTGGAAGCAATTTAACAACAATTCTAACAATACAAAATCTTTAGAAAAATAATAGAAATAAAAGGAACATAATTCTTACTTTGATTCTGTTTGTTTGCAACTACAAAATAATAAACGAATTAGTAACTTCAAGGAAATAATAATAAAACAATAATTAAATTAAATTAAATAGAATTGATTTGGGGCCAAACCCTCAAACAGTTTTACCTTTAACGCCTTGGCTTAAGGATAGAACCACGAGTAAAGTATGGACTCCTGGGAGTGCTTGAAGAAGGAATTTTGAACGAATAAGGGTAGGCTAGTGTTAAGGCTAGAGCATAGATGAGAGAAAAAACTAGAGAATTAATTGATGCCCTGTACAACAGAAATGAGGGGGTATTTATTAAAATAAAAGTGCTGAGGGAACACACGGAACCCTAAAATGATAAAAACCCTAAAAAATTATACCGAGACACGGGAAATCCCACTGTCAGACGGGAAAAATTCCCGTGACACGGTGTACTTCTGTGTGACGCGGGAAATATATGCTGAACGGGAAAGAAAACGCGTTAAGGTTTTACGCGGAAAGGACACGGAAACCCCTGTGTCACGGTAGGTGTGCTGTGTCACGGGGAACCCCACCGTCAGACGGGAAAGTTTCCCGTGACACGGTGGACTGTTGCCATGACGCGGGAGTTTTCAATCAGCTTTTCCGTCTAAATTCATTTTTAACCCTAATTTCGTTCAGCATTTAAATGTCAATTGATAATTTCGGGCCTTTTATTGTTTTATTATTATTTGGGCCAAAATAAGAATTAAGTAAATAAAAATAAATAAAAAAATTGGGCTAAATTAAAAAATAATAATAAAAAAGTAAAATAAGTTTGGGCTGAAATTAAAACTATGCTTTGACCAAACATCAAGACTAACCCATGGACTATTCAAAAATTGAAT